TTTCAGTGAATGTGATTGCAGATTTTGCAGGTTTGAACACATAAAGGCCCCACAACTTGAGAGTATTGAAAGTCAAGTACATGAGTGGGGGTCAGGGCCTCGGGCAGCCCTTTCCCAGGAGGGGGAGGAAAGAACACATAAGGAAAAGGTTTGTGTCCTTTTCACCCAAGGGAAATCAGAATTCCCACACTAAAGTCATTCCTCAAAGATCCTACAACAGAAAACAATGCTTCTATGGAATATTCCCCAAGTGTATTTGGATACCTAAGTTTCTCTATTCCTCCCAATTGACAGCTGAGGACATCTCAAAGCAAGGCCGTAACTTTGGAAATGCCAGCTTATGGGTGCATACGCACTCTGACCTGAAAGCTACAGTCTTTCAGAGATACCCAGAGAGCCACCACAGCAAGCTCACTGCCACTCCTAGGGGACATAGTGGTGGCTTCACTGCCACTCCGGATAAACACTGTGGTAGTAAACACCCTTTCTTCCCGTAAGCTCCAGGAAGGCTCTTCTCCCCGTGTTCCCCAGATCCAATCCCCCAGTCTCATCCCCAGCTCTGCACCAGAACACCTGTGGCAGCCTTCCCTGCCCACTCGTCTCCTGTGGACCCCACAGCCCTTTCCCCCTTACTCTCCCTCTCCCCTCTTGTTGCTTCATAGCCCCCAGCAGGAACTCCCCACAAGCTCACAGCCCCTCCTGCCAGGAACGCAGGTAGACTGTCTGCAGCTCTTCCCCTCTCCTTCTGTTCTTGTGGATCCAACCCCTAGTCTCATCCCCAGTACTATAAAAGACCCTTTGCATGACTCCTCATCACTGTTTCCCCCATTTCAAGGAGGCGAAATAAGCAGATCCTGGTTTAACACAACTCTCCTTCTATGAACCCCTCCAAATCCCTAGCCTATCCCCATTTCTAAGTTTCAGCTCACAATACCCAGAAATACATTTTACCTGGAACCCCCAGTGGCCACAACTACCAACTCCAAGGAAAATTTCCTACCAGGCGACGCACAGCAACATCACACTCTCTGAAAATCCAGAGTATAAACAGGAACCAAGGAACAAAATACCCACCCCAAAAAGCACCCAGAAACCAGCACCTAGACCTATAACCATCCCAATCCCAGATGCCTAGATACCAGCATAAGATTAGAATCAGTAAGAGCCAGGGCAGTATGTCTCCATTAGATACCAGCTATCCTACCACAGCAGGCCCAAAGTCCTGAAAACCTGTATGAAGATGATGGATGTCCATAAAGAAGAAATTAATAAATCCCTTTGTAAAAATCCAAGAAAACACAAACAGTGCAAGGAAATGTATAAATCTCTTAAAGAAATACAGGAAAGTTCAAACAAATAGAAGGAAATGAATAAAAAATGTTCAATACCTGAAAGTGGAAATAGAATCAGTAAAGAAAGCACAAAGTGAGGGAATTCTAGAAATGAAAAATTTAGGCAATTAAACATGAACTACATAGGCAAGCTTCACCAACATAATACAAAAGATGGGAGAAAGGATCTCAGACATTGACATTACAATAGAAAAAAAACAGATAAATTGATTAGAGAAAAATCTTAAATCTAAAAACCTGACACAAAACATCCAGGAAATCTGGAAATCTGGAACACTATAGAGACCAAACCTTGGAGTAATAGGAATGGGGGAAGAATTCCAGTTCAAAAGCCCAGAAAATATTTTCAACAAAATTATAGAAGAAAATTTTCTAATCTAGACAACTAAATAGATTGAACCAGAAAAGAAAGTCACCTCGATATATAATAAAACACCAAATGTTAAAAAAATAAAACATTAAAAGCTGCAATGGAAAAAAACCAAGTAACATAAAAAGGCAGACCTATTAGAAGAATCATACCCAACTTCTCAAGGAAGACTCTAACAGCCAGAAGGGCCTGCACAGATGTGCTGCAGACCCTAAGAGACTACAAGTATCAGCCCAGACGATTATGCCCAGCAAAACTGGGAAGACAGAGACATAAATCCACACACCTACGGAAACCCGAGTTTTGATAAAGAAGCCAGTCAGAAGTACATACTGGAAATAAGACAGTATCTTCAACAAATGGTACTGTTCAAACTGGATGTCTGCATGTGGAAGAATAAAAATCAATCCATATTTATCACCCTGCATAAAACTCAAGCTGAAATGGATCAAAGACCTCAAAATAAAACCAGAGGCAATAAATCTGATAGAAGAGAAGGGGGGAATTGCCCAAAATGCATTGGCACAGGAGACAACTTCCTGAAAAGAACACCAACAGTGCCGACATTAAGATCAACATATGGAACCTCATGAAACTGAAAAGTTTCTGTAAGGCAAAGGACACAGTCATTTAGACAAAAGAGCAGCCTACTGAATGGGAATTTTGTTTTACCAACTCTACATCTGATAAAGGACTAATATCCAAAACATATAAAGAACTCAAGAAACTAGATATCAAAAACCCAAATAATCCATAAAAAATAGTACAGATTTAAACAGAGAATTCTCAGTAGAGGAAACTCAAATAGCTGAGAAACACTTAAAAAATGTTCAATATTCTTAGCCATCAGGGAAAGGAAAATCAAAACTACTTTGAGTTTCCATCTTATACTTGTCAGAATGGCTAAGGTCAATAACACAAGTAACAGCTCATGCTGGCAAGGATGTGGAATAAGGGGACCACTCATCCCTTGCTGGTGGGAGTGCAAACCTGTACAACCATTATGGCAATCACTATGGCAGCTAATCTGAAAGTTAGGAATTGATCTACCTCAAGATCCAGAAGTACATCTCCTGGGCATATACCCAAAGGATGGTTCATCCTACTATAAGAACACTTGCTCAGCCATGTTCATTGCTTCTCTATTCATAATAGCCTGAAACTGGAAACAACCTATATGTCCCTCAACCAGAGAGTGAATAAAGAAAAATGTGCTATCTTTACACAATGGAGTATTACTCAGCTGTTAAAAACAAATGACATCTTGAAATTTGCAGGCAAATAGGAAAAAAATCATTCTGAGTGATGTAATACAGACCCAGGAAGCTGAGTATGGTATATATTCACTTATATGTGAATATTAACCATTAAATAAATGGTAACCAGCCAACAATCTGTAGGGCCAGAGAGGATAGGTCTAGAGGGACTAGGGGGACACATGGATCTCCCTGGGAGAGGGAAATAGATGTTATGGGTGGATTGGGGGTGGGTGGGGACAGGAAGAAGGATCAGGAGGGGAGGCAGAAGAGAAATTGGGTTGAGTAAAGGAATGAAGAGAGAGACAACTGGAAATGAGGGGCATTTGGGGCAGTATGAAAATCCAGTTAAATGGAAACTTTCTAAAATATATGAAGGTGATCCTCACAAGGTTTCCTAATAATGGGGGATACAGATTCCCAACTTGCCATCCCTTGACACCAAACAAGGCTTACAGTGGTGGGACTAGGTTGCATTCAGTTGAGTTTTGGCTATGGGGGTAGTGGTCTCATGGAAGTCCTCAAACCACCCAGGCTGTTGCTAAGACAATAGTTTATTCTCTGCAAACCAAAAGCAGAGCCCTATTGCAAACAACAAGGCCCTTGAACATGGCTGACATCAAGCTGGTGTCTATGTGGAGCCTTCATTACTATGTTCTAGTATCTGTGGTGTGGGAAGATACTTGGCAGGCTGCCAGAGGAGAAATGTAAATACCATCCCATCCACAAAACCTTTGACTTACAATCTAAACTGCCTGCAAGATATGCTAGGCCAATGGTGGCACAGAACTTGTGGGAGTAGTCAACTAATGTCTTATTTGACTTAAGGCCCATCCCTGACATGGAACCCATGCTAGGGTGACCAAGAACCAGAGATTAGATATCCCTGGACCTAGGGTAAGACCAAATACTACTGGTCTAAAAATAATAACAATAAAATGACTCCTAGGAACATTCTGCTTGGAGAAGCTTCCTCCTGCAGCAGATGGGCACAGATGTAGTGACTTTATGTTTACTGTATTCAATAGTGGGAGTTGAAGGGAGGTAGTAATGAATGGATATGATCAATGTGATCAATTGTATAAGTATGAAACTCTCAATAAAAATATTATTAATAAAAAGGTGCTCAAATAAGCAGCAGTTTACATGCCTCTGAATTCTACACCTAAAAACAGTTAAATTAATTTTAAGCTGTTTAATATTTCATCACAATAATAAAGCCAATGAGTATTTATCTGAGTACTATAGGAAAGAGAAACTGAGTGGCATTAACACATACAATTTTTTAAAACACATTGAGAGGGTCAATAATTTTGTTGCTGTTACTACTATTGTTGTTTGCGACAGGCTCCTATACAACCCTAATAGGCCTTCCACTATACTGTTGAAGAGGACATTGAACTTTGAACTCCTGATCATCCTACTTCTAAGTCTCAAGTGCCAAGTTTAGAGGTATGTACCACTGCCCATGGCCAGACCAACAGTTTTTAAATGTGTTGATATGAAATTGAAACAAAGCTAAGGACAGAAGCAAAGCCATTGAAAAAGGCAATAAAAGCAAAGATGCACAATTTTATTATGAAATTAAAACAGCCCCTTAATTAGAGAAAATAAGAACAGAGTTGCTGTAAATGACATTCCCATTAGTGCCACTTTTATTGCAAGGAGTGGCTTATAGCTCATGGTTGATTATCGAGTTAGTTAACTGGTTTTACAATAGAAACCATTCAAATGCCATATAAATGCTGTTTATGAAAGAGATTGTTTAAATGTGGCTCATAAGCCTCTTCCAGGAGATATCCCAGTCCTGTGGTTTTCAAGCAGTTTGACAGCTGAGACACAGTTGTCAAAACAGATCCTGAAGCCATTTACTCCTCATAAATTTTCTTCAACAGGGACATTTCTCCATTTGGATTTATCTGCACGGGAGTGACTGCAAAGTTCTACAAGAAAGGAGCTGCTTGCCTATAGCTGAAAGCACCGGTGTTTATGACTTAGGTTGAGAAAAGCTGGTCCACTTACACTTGGCCTGTCATCCACATAACCAACAGGTGGACAGATCCAACACATTCTGTTTGGGAGCCATGTTTTGGTCATTATGTTCTTATTTAAAATAAAGTATGCTTTAAAACTGGGTCAGCTTCTCCAAGTTTTCTTCTAAACAACCTTAACCGAACACACAGTTAGAGCCATTCAGCCAGAAGCATCTGCATACTTTAGGCTATCCTGGTTTACATAGTGACAATGCCCCCCCCCTCAAATCAACTAATTGCATAAAATATGTCACTTAGCAACAGGAAAGTGCTATCTGGGAAACAGGTGCAGCAGCAATACCTTTAAGGAAAGGAAAAATTCTAGAATCTTCTGTTTGCCTTTATAGCTGTTACTTTTTCTTAATCAAATGCAGACCCCCCCAAAAAAAGAACCAAAACAAGAAAAGTATTACCTGTTTCATGATTTGGCAGAACTATCTTGTTACTAAGATGGAGGCAGGGAACCCTGCTCCTTTATAGCTTTTAAAAATAAGCTATTGTTAGAGTATCCTCCCACCAAAGTTCCTCCTGGGAATGAGTCATTTGGGAGAAATTAGGATTGCGTAGAATCATGAAGGTGGAGCCCCCCAGACACCATTAGTGACTTTAAATGAGAAAGAAAAGCAGAGCCCACTGAGCGGTCCCCTCCACAATGATGACAAGCAGTACAGTGCCAAGCATGAGGCAGATGTTGGTGCCATGCTCTTTGACTTTCAAACCTCTAGAACATGAGCTAAACTTCTGTTTTAAAAAAGAAAATTACCCAGCCTCGGGTATTTGGTAATAGCAACAGAAAACAGATGTACCATAATCTGTTAATGGCTACACTAAAGTAATGAATTTATTTGTCCACTACTTTGTTGAGTCAGATAACCCAGAGTCAAAAACAGTAGCACAACAGTTTATATATAACTACCATGGCCAAGCAAATAACGGCTTCTTCCTGTTTACGCCATTGGCAGGCAATGACCCACTGAACGCCACAGACACTGAACTCCCCATTACCTCTCATTTGTTTGTTTCCAACTTCTTTGAGAATCTTGACCAAATGGGTACATTTGTAGAAATCTAACCAACTACCATAAAATTAAAGCTACAGACCAATTCTGCCTGACCTGCTACCCACTTATTTTTACTTATCATGGGGTGACCACTCCTCCCAAACTACTTCAGTTATCAAATTCTGTGAATTTGCTTCTGTTTGTAGCCTATTTTACATCCTGGCACATGATGTGGGTAACTGTCTTCTCTGCTTATGGGAGGCTATGCTCGAGGTTCTGACTCATTTTTTGATTGACTGGGAGCTGACACTCCCAGTCATTTACCAGCTCCTGGTCCCAGCCCATTCTTCACAAATTAGCCAGCAACACCTAGCCCTGACTTTAGACACGCCAGACTCATGATACCAAACTGGCCAAAGTTCAGATGCTGGTCTGCTATTTCCATTACAATTTCTGGACTAAATAATCCACAGAAATCAGAAGATGAACCTATTTTGAAGTAATGACGGTCTACTTCAAGAGGGAGGAAGAGGCATGTCTGCAGAGCCGAGGATGTGTGAGAAGGCCCATAATTCAAGAGGGGGAGTATATGAAGTGAAGACTGAAGCCTATTTAGCCAACCACAAAATACACGAGAGCTTTCCCCAGAAAGACATCGTATCAGATAAGGCTTATCATCAAGGCAGGAGGGAGCAGAAACTGGGAATGCTCCTGGAACAGCTTGTGAAACAAGGTGTGTTTAGAGCTAGGGGAGAGGAGGCTTTGCTGCTTTCAACAAGCCCTTTGGTTTCCTTCAAGTAACCACACATTTGAAAGCATCTCTAGATAATGTCAAGTGACTAATGGTGAGAGTGATACAGACTAGCATGTATCATCCCTACCAATTGGGGGAAAGCCACAAGACAAGGATGTGTAGAAGTGAGGATGACCTCTGACAGGGCAACTCACAGGAAACTTTCTCTGGGCTAGTGAAGCTAACCCTAACCCTAACCCTAACCCTTCATCATTTGAGTTGCGATTCATCAAGGAGTGAGCCAGCTATTTGAGCTACTTAACATTATTATTCCAAATAGGGAAATGACATAATATCATTTACACAGATAGAATGTGAGTTGAAAAAATTATCTCTGTGAAAACTAAGTTGAATGCCACAGGGGTCCTTCGGGAAAACAGGGTGCCAAGAGAAACTGCTGCTGAACATGGCGAGAGTTTGACACACAATGAAAGGGAAATGATAAAAGTCAAAAATTCAACAACCGCATCTGAAGAGTCTTTAAGCTCTGGCACATTTTTATTTATAGAACACAACACTTCAAGCTATGGGTTTGTTCATTTTTGTGTGTGTATGTGTGCTGTCTGAGTGTATACAAAGATTATGGGAAGATGCATACTGCAAACTAGGAATGAGTTTCTTATTTTTGTCTGCTATAGTTTAGAAAGTAACTGTGGGTTAAAGTGAAGGACAAAGAGGCAGAATCCCAGAGGAAAGCTACACACACCATACACAGCAGAGAATCAAGAGAGGATGAGCATTAACAGATTGCTAAGCTGTGAGGCTGGAATTATGGCTCACTGGTGGTGGGGTGGGTGGCAGAGAGGGTAGATCTTGAGAGCTTTCTTGCCAGCCAGCCAGCCAGCCCTGTTCAAAATGGTGAGCTTCTGTTTCAGTGAGAAACCCATTCTCAAGTTAATAAGATAGGCACCAAATAAGAGGATACCTGGCAGTTGGAGCAAAGCCTAGACCCTCTGACGTGTGTCTATGCTGAGAGAGTATCCCTCTATGTGGAATGGTCTCCCAAAGTCCATTTGTGTACTAGGGGTAAATACTGATCCACTACCAGCACCTCCATAGATTGTCTAGACATCCAAACTGACCTTCTCATTCAGGGGTCTGGAACGGTCTTATGCTAGTTTCCCAGATATCAGTCTGGTGTCCATGAGCTCCCCCTTGTTCAGGTCAGCAGTTTCTGTGGGTTTCCCCAGCCTGGTCTTGACCCCTTTGCTCATACCTCCTCCCTCTCTGCAACTGGATTCCAGAGTTCAGCTCAGTGTTTAGCTGTGGGTGTCTGCTTCTGCTTCTGCTTCCATCATCTACTGGATGAAGGCTCTAGGATGGCATATAAGGTAGTCATCCATATCATTATCGGAGAAGGGCATTTAAGGTAGCCTCTTGACTATTGCTTAGGTTGTTAGTTGGAGTCAAACTTGTGGATCTCTGGACCTTTCCCTCATTCCAGAATTCTCTTTAAACCTATAAAGGCTCCCTCAATTATGGTATCTCTTTTCTTGTTCTCCTCTATTCTTCCCCTAACTAGATCTCC